AGGACAAACAGCGTATTGTTGGGGGAATTAATACGCCAAGCAATTCGAGAGAAATTACTAAAGATCAAAAAATTAACCTTAATGCATCGCGACCTAAAAACTAAATCCTAAAATAAACCTAATTATGTAATTTCGAAGGAAAACAAAATGGTGGCCCAGTTCTGGGATTTTATTTGGCTGCACAAGACGGTTAGAAGGAACTGAAATCAACTTTTCAAACATTACTGTTTAATGATCTTTAATTGGACATTTGAGTAGATGCTAATGCATGGATTTCAGAGAAGAATTTACGGATGCGAAATTCAGGTGCTTTGCATGCTATCGTTCAACTAACATGATGAATTCCTGTATGTGCTGACATACTCATCTAACTGGACATTCGCATGAAAGTATGAGCACCGTTATTTGTTTCTGCCCTTTTTCCCAACAGCTGTGAAGCTTCTACAAGTCTCTGTTATGTAAGGTTGTTTGAAAAGAGCAATAAGCACTGACCTAACTTTTAGAAAAATGAAAAAGTAAAAGAAATTGCTTTTCGAATAAGTCTTTTGAAATGCAGAAGTTATTAATTTTGAAACTTAACTTACAAAACGAACAACGAAAAGTGTAAAACTCAGTCTTGCCAGTAGTTTACCCAGTTATTCAGTGGTGCTTGGCGTGTTATAAAGATTCAAGGAACAAAAGATTAAGGGAACAAGGAACTACCGATTAAAGAACAGTCTACAACTCATTAAAAAACGCTCTAATAAGAAGCAGTGGACGAAAAAATTGGAAGGAAATAACCTTCTTTGACGTTCTCCGGATGATCCTCGAGAATGCTAGCAATATTAGCACTGATACCGTTGATACGCACATTCTTCAGGCACCCAATGTAGCCTTTTCGGAGATTTGCAGTCCAGACCGGAGATGGTGCACGAAACTCGACCACGTCTGACTCGTTCATAGGCCATGGTACTCCACCCAGATAGATTGGCTCCTCTACAAACAATACATTGACACGTAGCATAGTTCCGCAAAAGCACAGATAGCAACGTGGGACAGTACATGGAACACTTTGCGGATTTGCCCCAAAAAGTACTTGATGGTAAACGTTCTCGCCAATGCTTCCAAAAAAAAGAAAAATTGCAGTTTTTTATTAAAAGTGAAAATATTTTCGAGATTTTTATTTATCAACAATAATTTCATTGTGATCTTTATTGTTTTCATGCTGAAATATTAATCAAATAATACTTTGTTTATGTTCTGGACGATATTTTGTTTTTATCACGTCATGGATACGTGAGCACTGAAAAACCATAAACAATGATTTATCAGAGTTTAAGCATCCGGGATATGAAAAAGACTTTATTTCTTCACAGGCTTCTTAGAAATGCTAATCCTTCTCAAAAAATCGACTAAGCCTTTGTTTGTTTTAAAAATCCTGAAAAAGCGGAACTAAGGATGAGACATCTTTATGCTCTTTTTTCCTTCAAAAATGGTTTATATAGGCGTAGAAAAACAGTTCACACCTTACGTCCTCTACTCCTGATTCGTCCTCTTTCTTCAGCCATTCCTTCTTTTCCCCTCTCTCTCCACCTTTTTTGCACGCCCACTTCTTTTGTAACCCAACCCCATCACCAAAAACGTTCTTCAACAAGTGCATTTACAGGAGCTTTAGGAAATTACATGAATGGAACCTCGCGCAGTAGCCTGGGATATTTGGTATGTGCCGAAAATCGTTGGCAAGCACAGACTGCCAGTTGTCATGACCGCACCTAACAGATACGTGGAAAGTCCCGGACAATGAGAAAGACTAAGTGCCAAGACTTCATCACGCTCGGAACGCGCCACTTCTTATGAATAAGTCCAGTGCAGAACTTTTCACTAGGGCTATCACCTAGCTCTACAATCCAAGACTATAGCCCCGAACATCATTCTCTAGGGGCAGCATCCCGAGCTGCACTTCACATAGATTAAATTTGGAGAATTTCTCGTGGACATAGAGCAGAACAGCTTTTCCACTGGTATAATCTTGAAACACCAAAAAATCCAGTAATCGCATGCAGTTTATGTCACAAGCCAGGAAAATTGTAAGCAGTGAAAGCAGTAAGAATGGGATTAATTTATTTTTGGTTAGCACTAAACTGCGCAGTAATTAAGTTAAAGTACACAAAAATTAGCAAAATCCGTTAACGTACCGACGATGAGATTAGCGGAAACGCCAGGTGTTGAGAAATCGGTTCTGATATTATCCACAATCACCGTTCCCATTCGTCCCATTCTCTCAAGTGTTACGCTATGCCATACCGTTCCTTCCGTTATTTTCACTGCTGTTGTCTAAAAAATTCTATGGGCTATCCATTACAGACTTTTATGTTATGTTAACAATTTTTTCCACATTTTTGCGGCTGGCAATCACTTAATACCCATTTTTAAGTCTCTCAGCTTCAGCCGCTTCGTGAAACGGCCAAGAATTGGAGCAGAAATTGACCCATACACTTCATGAGAAAAATGCCGTTTCATGAGAATTGAAAAAGTCGTGGGGTGCTTCAGATGACTGATTCGATCTCGTCGTTTTGCAGTTCATTCTTGCGCAGATAGCAGGTGCAGATAAACTTTGCACTGATTTATCCCTGCATCTCTTTTACCTCAGTTGGGGATACAAAAACGACCTAAATTTCTATCTGTGTTCACTGGACAGGAAGTGTTTCATGTATATTTTTCATTGTTTTATAGCATAAGGTAAACTGAATGACTGTAATTTTAAACTAATAGCAAATGTTATGATTTAAGTGGATCTTAGAGCCTGGTATTGCTAACGCGATCGTGCATTTAGGTTCACAAAAATTATATAAGGTCTGGAGACGGATTTCACGCTTATGATTTGAATATGTTCCATTCTTAAAATTTCCAAAGTCAGACTTTTTTGATTTTTGCTTACGGATTCAGAAACTCTCAAGCGGATTTATGTCTGCAGGCCTGAACCCTTCATCGGACAATGCAAGGGGCATAATAAAACAATCAAAAGTAAAGGAACCTGCAATCTTATATGCCCTGATCCAAGATTAATAATCATGAACAGATGCCCATCTACCAGTTCCATTGCAATGTAATCAAGACCCGTTTTAGCTGTTGGCAGTGATCCGTGATAAAGAATAAGTCCATCAAGCTCTTGTGTGCGTAACTGAAAGCCTGAAATTTTAAAAAAACGAACAGTGAAACTGTTTAACTGGACCAAACATTACCAGAAGCAGCATTTTTCCGGCAAAAAGTCTAAGAAGTAGGTTACACATGCGTACAAAACTTGGGATCTCGAGCTGAGGAATTGCATAGTAAATACATGTGCGAGGAAATTTATTCCAAGAGATGGTTGCTACGAGAGAATTGCTTCCGATTAGGTAAGTTAGAATCGGTGACAGTTAAAACTGCCCTTTAAATATGACAGCTGCTTGCATGGAAAGCTTTTACAAACAAAAAGCAAAGATCTTTTTGTAATCGACAAAAGAACTGCATTAAGCAAGGCCTGCTTATATGTTTCCTGAATTAGGCAGCTCATCACTAATTCTTGCCGAAAAAATTTGTTCCCTGTGCTGTTAACATAAAAGCAGCTTCATAAATAGCTTTCGAGTCGCTAAACTATTCTCTTCCAGGAAAAAAGACGAAAACACATGATGTGAAGCTGATTCAGTGTATGGAACGCAATGCGTTAGGTGAATCCCGGCTTCAAGTTGGTAAGTGCGCATAGCAAATTTGACGTGGCCTGGCCAATTCATTCGTGTTCTTGTCAAAATTGCTATAATTTGCATTTCTAGGCCTACTTTTAGAATTCGGCGCATTATCGCATTTCAGCTAGTTTTTTCTGCACTTCAGGAATCGCTTCCTCATCACACTGCTTACATGACTGGATTAATTGTAAAACTTGCAAATAATTTTTCGCTTTTTTTTATTTGAAAAGATAGTCTTGGCACTTGTCTAACACAATAAAAATTTAGTCCCCTTTTCCTACCAGTCCCTCCTAGGCGTACCGTTGTTGCCCAGTACCTGCAGTTTTTTGTTTGACTAAACAACTTATCCAGGCATTGAAAAAATCATATTACCCACTGCACTAATGCTAATTCGGGTAGGAAGAAAAAAACAAAATTTTTAGCCTTTGAGAAATTAGCATTTGCGAGATTTGCTTCGTAGCACAAAATCAGTGGCGCAAAGGAAATGCAGCGTGTAAATGAACGCAATCACCTGCTCTGTTCACCCTGATGCCACACTGTTTTCAGGAGTGAGATGACATAAAAGCTTACCTAAACTACCGCTTGCCATGGAATTCCATTTGGGCAATGTGATAAAGTGGTGACCAGAGTTGAAGGACAAGACGTCTGCAGGAAGCGCTGGTTTGCGACACGAAAATGCTAGATCGCCAGCAGAGCGTATTACCGACTGACCGTATCCTTGGTCAGCCAGCGCTATGAAATTTATCAAATGCGCATCCGCTTCGTACTTTATCTGTAAATTTATCCAATGCATTACTGCACTGCATGGGTTTGTTCTGCTCACTTATTTTTCATAGCCAAAGGTTGTCTGCTGATTCGGGTTTTTGAAAGACTTTTATTGGGATATCCAAAATTTACGATGCTAATTTAGAATCCTCAGCCTTCCTCCACATCATAAATCAAAGGTAGGCTTTCTCTACCAGCATGTGCTTTTCGAAAATTTATTTCGGATATGATTGCACAGATGCTATCAATTATTTGTAAAATCTGTTTAAACAAAATGGGTCTTTGCGTGAACGAAATGTAACTGTAAACGTCTTGAAAATCTGTGAAATTAAATCGCTAAACAGTAACTTTTCTCTTTCAAATGCACACCTCAGTCCTCACAAATGTCAAATTGCTACCTTTTTCATGCATCCTCGAAAATTTTCCACCTCAACAGAAGAAATCCTTTTATCGCTGGCCATACCCCCAACATAGGCGAACGAATTGACCAACCAGTCGACTTCCGGTGCATATTGACGAATTTCATCTTTTAGGCCATCTACGCTCAGCACCATCTGCAACTGCGATATAAAAAAGGTATGCTATGGAGGAAGGGAAAAACGAAAAGGTCTTGGCATGCCTGGAGAAATATTTTCATTTTTATCTTTTTCTGACGGATTTGAAGTTTAGGAAAACTTTGAGGAAAAGCAAAAAGATTAGTTTGTTTTCCCCCTCGAATCTCGGCAAGCGCATGTCCAAAACCTTTTCGTGGAAAACAAAGCGATAGCAAATCAGTTGGCATCAAAAATGAGTGAAATTATAAGTCGTTAAGTAGTCCAAAATAAACAGTGGAATAATTTTGCAAATAAATTGCAACTCATTGGCGCACAGCATTGCTTTGCAGCAGTAAGCACTGCTGCTCGGGGAAAGGAAATGAAAAGTGTTGAGAAAAGGAAGAACAAAATGTACATGAACTGAATCCAGGATTGCTCAATGCATCGAACGGAAGCAAATTAATGATAAGCAAAAGTTGCGCATCTCGTCTTTTCACTCAGTGGTAAGCGCTGCGTGGTTGTTAAAATCAATCTGGCACTAGGAAGACGTAACATGGACAGATTATTACCTATGTGTATGTGTGCGCATATGAGTGTGGCGCCTATCAGTCCGGATAATCGAATTCCAGAACTATGACAGCTGAAAAGACAAATTCTAGGTCCTTCACCTCTTCTCCGACCATTTACTTCAACATTCTTGACCAGACAGCTTTTTTTGAAAGCTCTCACCACGAATCCTTCATAACGGACTTCATAAAACCCGAAGCTAAAATCATCCATAAGATAAACATGAAGGGCCTCTTTAGAAGTCTCAAAGAAATAACCAGGTACAGCCTAGAGGAAAATAACGAGGTGGAGATGCGCAGACAAAGCATAAACAATGTGGTCTTTGTACCAAATTGTTACAATAAAATGTGGAGGATGTTTCTTACTGCCCGTATCACTACTGCAGTACAACAAATAATGAAATTGAATTAAAGAAACGTAATACAATAATAGTAATGCAAATCAAATGCAATCGAAAACTAGGCACTCAATAAGCTTTGAAACTTCAAAATACAACAAAAAAGCTGCAAAACCAAACAAATCCACGGAAAATCGAAAAATCAGTTGAAAATGAGATAAGGAAAGAAGTTATCAAATGAACAAGTAAAATGCAGTTGCGTCAAAATATTTTTAAGCAGCCCCGATCGGAACGCCTCCAGCGAGCCCTTAATTCTTATTCTTGACGTTTATCCATATACTAAGCCTGTTCAGATAAGCCTGGTAGACAAAGGAAGGTCAGGACAGAACCAAAATTCCCTTCCATATTCTCCCTCCACGCAAAGTGGGAGCATTTGGAAGTAAAACGAGTGGTAGCAAATGTCAACGCTATCGATAGCTTCCCTTTCCAAAGATCATTTAGAAACAGGGTGATAGCAGTGCTTAGTCAAAGCACCAGAAATAATTCACCAAACAAACTGTAGAGGGATTAGAAGATATCCCATATACAGAATTAGTTCCTCATTTACTTGCCGCTACGTGATGTCCCCCCGCCTCTCCCAGTGACAAAGAGGCTGAGAGTATTTTCTAGCGCAACTATCTGACTGCAAGAAAAATTTAGAACACAGCAACAAAGCCATGCTACAATGAAAGAGTTTGAAAAGACAAAAATAATATTAGCGAAATAAAGGAAAAAATCATTTTAGGCACACCTCAACTGGCACTTACATGTACTGATGCGATGGAGGATGTTCTCTGAAGAAGCGACTTATAAGCCTTTTATGGCACTGCAGCCAAAATCTGTTGGGGAAGAACAAATGAGTCGATTCCTAAAAGTGCGGAGCACAAAAGGCTACAGTCCACAAAAGACTACCGTTCATAAAACTGAACGTGGTCGATTCCACTTTCCCCTACTTTTCCAAGTGTCATCCGGTGTCGTTCGAAAAAAAGGACGCGTATAAAATGAGGGAAATGACAGATACAGCTAAAACCAAGTGGTTCCAAAAAAGAAGTGCTGGATTCAGCTGCGCTTGGGATGCGGATATAACAGAGTAACTTATAGCCGAGAATTCTGGTCAACTTGATAATTTGGCAGACTGTAGTAACGTTTTTATCATTGCTTTTTGCTCTTAGCTATGCTTTTCTGGGGCTATTTTACTCGATTTCTTACGAGTTAAACGACTTCTCACATATGTGGACTGCTTCGTAATTGCCTACTTAGTAAAGAAATAAATCGATACTTAAAAGTAATAAAACTTTAACAGCCGAATATTAATGCAGATGAGAGTACAGCCAAGACTCAGGATGCGAACATTTACGACTGAATCAATGATATCAGCACGTGCCACTCTGACTGAAATTCCCAAGGTAGCCATCTGTGAAATGCAACTATCTCATTTCCTTCCAAAATATCAAATCTGAACACAGAGGTTTCAACACATATCCACGGCACTGAGTTCGAAATTTTTTCGATGGAAGAGGACTGTTTTGCTTAAGGGCAGGGGATATTTTTTGAGTTTCTGTGGAAAGCAGTTGAAAAAATCTTTGATTATTTGAGAATTAATATTTTTTCCCAAAATCCATCAATAACTCAACAGTCACAAAGTAGGGTAATTTTATTCATTAATGTATTAGTTATTTTCAGAAACGACGATTTATCTCATGTTTGCTGGAAAAGACATCTGTTTTTTTTTTTATGCTTCGACTTGATGCTTACTCAGAAAGTTTTCTTCGTTTCACTTGAAAATTTTTCGCCTTTAGTGCAACATGCTGCAAATAAACTAACTAATGTCATTGTCCTGACGACAGTGACTGTATGCCAGCGATCATCATCGTAACGACCGGCTGGGTATTCACTGAACATCCTAATAAGACGCTTTTCGGTACCATCAAATTTCGATGTTGCAATAATGGCACCATCGTCCAGCGTGATATGTATGTAATTCTAAATGAACATAAACTGCAACGTAAAAAATTTTCAAAGAAATGGAACTATTTCTGTCTGGAAATCAAAATCCTTATAAGGATGAGCTGGTCCAAAAAAGAACTTTTCAAAACGAATGAAAACAAAGGCTGGAACACACCAGGCGAGCCGGTGCGATCATGCGTTTTTGCATCAAAACTAAAGT